AATTTATGTAGCAAGCATTTTTCATAATAATAATTTTTATAATTTCAGTTCATTCATGAATTTTGATTTTTTAAAGATTTATTTAGAAGCTCATTAGTCTAAACTTAAATCATGTTTTTGTTTGGAATCTGTTACTGAATCATACTACAAATATATAATTTTAATTTAAAAAAGTAAGATTTTACAACATAATATGAATATTTTTCTATACAACAACAAGATTGTGGATACATGAAAGTATATAATATTTGTAAGAAATATTCTTTATAATTGTAAGAATATGGAACATATTGTAGATCTATGAAATGTTGCATATAAAATGCAATTACAGTAAAATTTCTTTTTTCTGAATTAATAAAAATCAACATACTCTGACGTATATTCTGATCCAATCAGAACCCAATTCTTCAAGCATAGGGTGAGCTGCAATTTCATCATCTGTTAATCGTTCATGATTAATAAATGAAATTGGACCTATGGTAAGTAAGTTGGTCAGCCAGCTTTTGTGAACAGTTAAACAAATTCTACCATCTGTTACTTTTATATATTTTACTGGCACGAGTAATTCTTTTGTTATTATATCCATTTTTTATATTTGTAATTTATACCTATAAAAAAATATTTTTATATATATCATGTATAAATTTCTTTTTGATAAAGTATAATCTAATGTATTCTTATTAATTCGTCAAGTTCATACCGTATTTGAATTGTATGGTTAGTAATATAGCGGAAAAACAACAAACCATGTATTTATTCCCAATGTTTACTATCTCAGTTTACTTGTTAACGCCACACACAGCTGATTTGTAGTAAAGAAACAGCTGAGGTTAGACGCCATGTTAGATACGATTTCATAATATTGTTACGATTTTTTATATATGTTTAGAAACAGTTTTACACGCAACATAATGTTTCACCTATTAAAATATTTTTTACACTTTTCTCCCTGATTACTTTTCCATAAAACAAAATAATCTTGTATTGCTTGTGGAAAGTAATGCTCACATAATAGTGTATATGATACTTTTGATTTAATGGTAAATTCAAAAAGTATTTGTAATTATTTGAAGTATATATAATTTGCAGACGAAGATATTGTTAGAAAATTTTATTTCAATTTAATAAATATTTTTTAAACAATAATAAATAATAAAACAATATCATCTATTCAATGTTTATAATACGAATTGTCTTAATAATGTGATTAACCAATAAATTGGAGCTGATTAAAAATGTTTTGCAGCAATTTCTACAATCTTTTTATAGTATGTAACACTAAAATTGAAAGAAGTAAAATGAAATACATATGTTTTAAAAGTGCATAATGATTAGGCATCTAATCTATTACTTGTATTTAATCTGCAGTACTGAATGATTACTAAACATTTACAATGTTAATAAGTTGGTAGGTTAATTTTAGTCACTATTGCAATATAAAAACTCTTTGTTTTATTAAAATGGAGTTACAAATTCAATAAAAATTACTTGGAAATTTTATGATAGCATTTGCTTAATAATTAATTCAAAATATGTTTAAATTACTTTGCTAAATATGTATTATTATGTTTTGTAAAATTACATTTGTTCATGGAGCCATACTATTTATATCTTTATGTATTTTAACTATCAATGCGAAATATCATGGCTAAAACAGTTTGGATATTCTTGTTCCATGTATGTAATGAGAAATAATTGAAATTAATTTATTCAGTTTCAATGCTCCGCTGCGTAATACTGGGTAACGAATATAACAAAAATTAAGTTTCAAAGTTCAAAGTCTATATTCTTCTATATTCCCATTAATAACACATATGAGGAAAAATAATAGTATTTACTCGTTACGACAAACTTATTATTATTATTTTTAAAAAGAAATGTATATAATAGGCCGTCTGCGCTTGAAGGAAAGTTTTGACACAGACATCGTACAGGTACGGGTCGATCACACCGATACCGAATCGATACTGTCGATACTAATCCGTAAATCATGATAGTATCGAAGACATAGGTATCAAAAATATCGATACTCCTTTGATACTTTTTTGAAAGTATGTATCCATAGTCGTTTGATACTTTTATGGAAGAATCAATACCCATTTGGTATTAATATGAAAATTTCAATATTCGCTTCATATCTTTCGAAATTTTTCATAATCATTTAACATTTCACCGAAACGTTTATATTTATCTATTTGAATCAGTTAAACTAATAATGGTATAATCTGGAATGCATTTACGTCTACATATAAACGCTCAGCACTGTTAAAACAATTTACCTAATGCCCTTATTAGACAAATTGTAAAGTTTCTTGGAGATATAGAAAACAAAATATTGTTCATCAAACCGTATTCCCAGATGTGAGAAAAATGTCTACATTAAGGAAGTTCTAACATTCAATAACCCATAATTCATTAATCTTAATTTATTTATTCTTAAGTAATATATTTCGTTGAATATCAACAAAATTAGATGTTATAGCAAACTACTAAGAAGGAATATTTTGTCAACAGTAGTGTCTTTCAGTCTGTTCCTCTTTTTACTTATTAATTCTCGATGCTTTCATAGAAGTATAAAAACGGGTATCGACACCCTCATAGAGGTATCAAATGGGTATCGATACTTTCAAAAAAGTATCAAAGATATATCGATATTTTTGATACCTATGTTTCTTCGATACTATTCGATACAGTATCATGATTTACGGACTCGTATCGATAGTATCGATTAGGTATCGATCTGATCACTAAGTATAGGATAAACCAATCATATTATGGGACTTTATGTCTCACGTCTTGAAATACCGCTTGTGTAAAAAGGCAGAGGTTTTGTTGTGCCTTCTACCACAAACGAGATATAGGCACGGACGAGGTACAGAATAAACCTTGCATTTTATGGGACTTTTTGTCCGGGGCTTTAGGGTCGAGGAGACCCTTACCATTTTCGAGTCGCTACCAACGTTACTGATTCAGTCTAGAATAAGATTACAACATTAGTAGTGATTGGAATTGGAATTAAACGTAACTATGAAATTACAAATAACAAAATAAGTGCTGTGAAAAGATCGTGAACAGTTCTACCCAAGTAGTTCTACCCAATCCAATATAATGTAAGTACCTTTATATGCAAATTTAATAAAAGAGAATTTTGTACATCTGTCGACTTTATCATCTTTGATAGTTGGATTGTGTGCAATTCGTAAATTCACCGCTCTATATCGTAGAGGGTATAGCAAAAATTCTGATTTCTTACACGATTGGTATTTCAGAACGTTTGACACAAAAATTTATTAGGTGCAAGGTCTATCCTGTATCTGGTCTGTGCGTACCTCGTTTGTGATATAGGGTAAACCACTCATCCATTGTATTTTTTATCATACGACCCCGGGGTTCCGGAACTCCATTACCAACATTCTACTGTATCGATTAAGACTGGTATTATATCATTGTGCTATTAGTGGTAGGAATTGAAATCAAGAACACTTGACATTTGTTATTTTAAATAACGAAGGGGACAAAATTTCAAATCTTAGGATGAATCGGAATGGATTCAGTCACACATATTTGCATTTTGGGATTCAAGAGTGTATTGACAATACAGTAACAATGTACACACGATCAATATCGATCGTTGTGCGCGATTCAGCTTGTTTTTAAAATAACCGTTCTTAAGCGCAGAGTGTTTTGAACGACGTCGGTATTTCAAATCGTGTGACAAAAAGTCCTATAAGATGATTGATCTACCCTATATCTCGTCTGTGGTAAGACAAGGAAAGGAATACGGGTAGTCAATGATAGCACTAGTGAAACGAGTTAGACAAGAATAAAAAATTTTTAAAAAGTAAACCAATGCCATCTCGTGTTTGACTGCACGAACTAACGGTTCGTTACTAGGAACACAGAATGTGAGCAGAGGTATTAGACAAGGAACGCACTACTGTGCGAGAAGGACAGAGAGAAAATGTTTCCTATTGGCCCGCAGATCGCTAACATCCGCCATTCAGACGCTAAATCAATTCGACCGGTACAAAATCATTAATAACTCAATAATTACGATGATTTTGTGAACTTTTAGAATTGAAGAATGAAGTGTGGACCTTCAGCAACTTTTACAAATAGATTTCAACGCATTAGACCCTTTCAATAATTAGTTATTAACGATTTTAGTATGTGATGCCGGGAACGATACTGCATACCTATACGGGTCTACACGAAAATGGTAAGGATCTTCTCGGCCCCAAAGCCCCGAACAAAAAGTCCCATAAGATGCTATTTAGGTTTATCCTGTACGTCGTCTGTGGTGCAAGGTCTATTCTGTAGGTTGTCTGTGTCTGTACCTCGTCTGTGGTTATACCTACTCTCTACGATATAAAACGGCGAGTTTAGGAATGGCTGTTCTTTGTTAAATAAAACTAACATGTGTTTATACAATTTTCATGTTATACTTATTACCTTACTAATAATTGAAAACATTACACATTGCTCTGTATAAAAAGAAAAGCAAGAAGAACACGAGGAAGCTACAAATAGTGTAGTGGAGTATCATTAGCCTTTGATACTTTTTCTTAGCAGCTGGTAATGACTCTGGTGTCTCCTTTATTAATTTTCGGAAATATCCTGCAAATATATCTGAATATCTATGCCAGTCCAGTACTTTTAAATCAAACGGAAATTCTTTCATATCGGCATCATTCATACGAGTTTGTACATCTCGGATATTATCAGATTTTATGATCCAACTGGCAGCAATAAAGCGCGATAGAACCCTTAAGTTCTTCGTTACCTTCCACACTCCACTGATAGCTCTGTGAAAAAGAATATCATATAACTTTCAAACATCTGAATCCATAATAAGATATTACAATTTTTTCATCATTTTTCAAATAAATATTAAAGCAATTTAACGAACTACCGTTTAAATCGAACTCGAAGCATTCTTATTCGTGTACAGTTTTGAAATTATTTTTTGAAACTTACATTGGTTTCTTCCTTCGAGCCACGAGAACTATATCAACCATTATAGCAGGTATAACGTGAAGTATTAGGTGGAGTACAATTAAAGCACCGAAATTTGGGACAAACACTAAGAATGGATACCAAACCATTTTAAGGGATGGGTATTTATACGCTGTTTTCATAACTGATTCTATTGCTAGTCCGTAGGTGATAGGATTCCAGTCAGATGATGCACAATTGTAAACTTGTCGTTCTTTTGACTTCCTACAGAAAATAATAAAAATATTAAGCTCTTCGCAGAAATTTTAATGCCGATAAACAAAGACATTCGGATATGCTTTATTAAAGGATCATATTTAATTTAATGATATTCATAGTACCTGTGAACAGTAGAATCCCAGATTAACGCCAGGAGACTGTTAGTCACGATGTCAACAGGAATTATGTCAAACAGCGCATCTTCCCACGTTTGTATCACATGCACTATACCCAGATAGATTCCTACTGTCAGTGTTACAGGCCCACTTTGGCTTCCTATCCAACCTGGCAGCGGTTCCATATATGGTGGTACAACTGTTCGCAAAATGAGTAGAATTTCCAATATTTAATTTTCACTATTTTACGATATTA